GAGGCGACGGCGGCCGCGGCGGCCGCGGCCGCCGCGTCGCCCTCGCGCGAGAGCCGCAGCGCGAGGAGGCCCCGCCGGAGCGCGACGTTGCGCCGCCGCTGGCCGGCGCGGCCCAGCGCCGCGGCGACGGCCCCGAGGCGCCGCCATCGCGCCGCGGCCCCGCGCAGCGCGCGGAACGCGCGGCGCCGCCGCGCGTCCGACGCGCGCGCCGCGGGCCGCAGCGCGGCGATCGCGATCGCGCGGCTCCGCGCGGCGGTGCGCGCCGTCGCCGCGGCGGCGGCCGCGGCGTCCCGCGCGGCCCGCTCCGCGGCGACGCGCCAGGCGCGGAAGCGGCGCGCGGCCGCGGCCGCGGACGCGCGTAACGCGGCGCGCGCGAGCCCGCGGGCGACGGCGCGGCAGCGGCCGCCGCGCGCGGCCGCGGCCCGGAGGGCGCCGAGGGCGCGGCCCGTGCGCCGACCGTCGGCGGCCGCCGCGGCGCGGCGCAGCGCGAGCGCGACGGCCCGGGGACCCGCGGGGCGCGCGGAGGCCCGCGGCCACGCGTCCCAGGCCGCGCGCCGCGCGCGGCCGTCGAGGGCCCGGCCGGCGCGCCGGAGCGCGAGGGCGACGGCCGCCGCCGCGAGCCCCGGCGGCGCGACCTCGACGACCAGAACGCGCGCGCGCGCGCGCGCCGTCGCGCCGCCGCGGCGGCGCGGCGCAGCGCGAGGGCGACGGCCACGAGGGCCGCCCGGTTGCCGCCGGCCAGCGCGGTCCACCCGCGCCGCAGCGCCCCGCGGCGCCGGGCCCGCGCGGCCGCGGCCGCGGCGAGCGCGGCGACGACGGCGCCGCCGAAGGGCCGCGCGGCCGTCGGCGCCGCGCCGCGCCGCGTCTGCGTCGCCGCCGCCGCGACGGCGCGCCGCGGCGGTGCGCCCGCGGCGAGGGCGCGCCACGCGCGGCGCCGCGGCGCCGCGAGGAGCCGCGCGACGCCGAGCGCGGCCGCGCCGCGCCGCCGCTCCGCGACGGCCGCGGCCGCGCGGCGCAGCGCGGCGACGCCGCGGCGCCAGTGGCGCACGCGCAGCGCCCGCAGCACGCGCCGCAGGGCGCCGAAGCGCGCGTCGCGCGACGCCTTCTCGACGGTCGCGCGGGCGCCGGTGCGCACGGCGTAGTAGTAGGGCACGGGCTGCGGCGGCGGCGGCGGCGACCGGCGGCGCCGCGGCGGCGCGAGGTCCGCGGCGCCGTACTTTTGCCGCAGGAGCTCCTTCTCCCGCCGCATGGTCGCGGCTATGGGGGCGCCCATCGTAATGCTTCGGGGCAGCCACGGGCCAAACCGCGTGGTTCACCGTCGGCTCAGTTGGCAATGGTGACGCGATGGTGACGCGATTGCCGTCGTCCATCTCTTTTGCCGGCCCAGCGAGGCGTCGCGTCGCGTCGTGCTGCGCATGCGCGCGCGCACCTCCTCCTCCATGGACGAGGACTCGGAGGCCTTCGAGTCGCTCGTCGAGGAGGCGCGCCGCGACGGCGACGCGGCGCCGCCGGCGCCGGCGCGCCGGGCGTCGGACCACCTCGCGGCCAAGGTCGTGCTCATCCTCGTCTCCTCCGTGCTCATCGCGTCGTCGGGCCTCGCCGTGCGCGAGGCCGAGGTCGACGGCGAGATCACGTACAGCCCGCTGAGCGTGACGCTCTACAGCGAGAGCGTGAAGCTGCTGCTCGCGTGCGGCATCACGGCCTTCGGCGAGCCGGCGGCGCACCGCGCGGACGCGCGGGCGCTGGCCGCGTTCCTGCCCGGCGCCTTCGGCTACTTCGTGCTGAACAACATGCGCTACAGCATGATCCGCGCCGTGAACCCCGGCGTGCTGGCCATCGTCTGGAACATGAAGATCGTCACGATCGGTTTGTTCTACGCGGCGCCGCCGTTCAGCCGCGTCTTCACGCGGCGCCAGTGGGCCGGCGCCTTCCTGCTCGTCGCCGGGAGCACGCTCGCGGAGCTGAGCCAGTGGGGCACGAAGAACGCCGAGGGCCAGTCGAACACGGGCGGCGCGTCCGGCCTGGCCATCGTCGCCGCGGCGCTCGTCCTCACGTCGTTCTCCGCGGTCGCCTGCGAGTACGCCTACAAGTCGACGGGGGACCTGCCGCTGAGCCGCCAGAATTTGATTCTGTATTCCTACGGCACGGCGTTCAACGGCGCGACGGCGCTCGCGTGGCGGTTCTTGGAGGACGACGCGTCGCCGTGGACGCGGGGCTTCACCGCGTGGACCTGGGCCGCGGTCTTCACGCAGGCGCTGTCGGGCTACATGATCGGGGCCCTCCTGAAATACGTGGACGCCGTGGGCCAGGTCTTCGCGGACGTCGTGGCCATGGTCTTCTCGGCCGTCGTCGCGGCCCTGTTCTTCGGTTTGGCCGCGAATGTGGAGTACGGCGTCGCGCTCTTGATCTGCTGCGGCAGCCTCGTGGTCTACTACTCCCAGTCCATCGCGGACCACGTCAAGCGCCGGCGGGAGCTGCGCAGCGACGACGCGCGCGCGCAGGCCGACGCGCGCGACCGCGCGGCCGCCGACGAGCAGAGCCTCGGCTTCTGGGCGTCGCGGAGCCCCCTCGTCGTCGCGGACCCGAAGCCCGGCCCGAGCATCGAGCTCGTGGCCGCGCGGAAGTTGGTGGACGCGAGCGACGCGTCGACGTCGCCGACGCATCGACGGAGCGTGGATAACGCCTAGGACCTTAGACGAGGCGGAAGATGGGGCTGTCGTCCGGCGGCGGCGCGTGGCGGCGCGACACGGCGCCGCTCCGCATGCGCAGCGGGTCGTGGCCCGAGGTCGCGCCGCGGCGCACCGCGCGTCGCCGCGCCTCGACGACGTGCGCCCCGGCGCGCTCGCGCGGCATCATGGCCACGTAGAGCGCGAGGCGCAGGAGGCTCGGCTGCTCGGAGACGCCGCGCGCCGCGAGGACGTGGTGCGGCGCGAGGTTCCGGCTCGCGCCGTTCGAGCAGTGCACGACGCGCGAGTCCCAGATGACGTAGTCCCCCGGCCCGAGCGGCGCGACCTGGCGCGCGGTCCGCGCGCAGTACTCCGCGTCGCCGCGGCCCGCCATGCGCACGAAGGAGCCGCGGCCCGCCTTGCCGCCGCGCGCGCAGTTCTCCGCGAACTGCTTGTGGGACCCGGGGCAGACGACCGTCGAGCCCGTGTGGCCGTCCGCGCCCCAGACCGTGAGCGCGCCCTGGTAGCCGACGAAGCCGGGATGCGTCGCAAAGTTCTGGTCCTAAACAACAACTTGTATGAACAAAATAAAGATATCGCTCTAAACGACTCACCAGATGGTACCAGCTCTGGGCCGTGCGCACGTTCGCCTTGCCCGCGTGCGCGGGGTGGCACGGGTTCCGCCAGACGCCGCAGCCGTCGAAGGACGTGACGAGCTGCCGCGTCGTCGCCGCCGGCTCCGTCATGTCCAAGCCCCAGACCGTGCGCCAGGCGTCGACGACGCCGGCGTGCTGCCGCGCGGCCCACAGCAGATCGCTCTGGCCGATGCTGCCCGTGTTGACGACGCCCGAATTCCTGTGGCCGAGGCTGTCGAAGACGCGGGGCGCGTGCGTCGCCGGCCGCGCGCGGTCGACGCCCTCGTGCTCCCGCTCCAGCCAGTCCCAGAACAGCGACTCCAGCCGCGACCGGTCGTCCGCGGGGACGACGCCGCGGAAGACGACGACGCCGAACCGCTTCAGGAGCGCGGCGCAGCGCGAGGCGTCGCCGATCGCGCAGACGGGCGTCTCGTCGCCCCAGGGCGGCTGGCGGCCGTCCGCGGGCCGCGCGCGCGCCGCGGACATCATCGACGCCATCGCGTCGGGCAGCCGGGGCGCGGGCCGTCGCGGCGCGGGCGCGGGCGCCTTGGCGCGCTTCGGCGCCGGCGCGGTCGCCGGCGGGAGCGGACGCTTCGCCGCGTCGGCGCCCGAGGAGGAGGCCTGGTCCGACGCGCCGGCGCCGTCGTCATCGACGACGATGACCTCCGGCGCGCTGGCGGCCGCTGCCTCCGGTGCGTCGGCCGCCTCGGGTGCGCTCGCGCTCGGAGAGACCTCCGGTACGCTCGCGCCAATAGAGGCCGGCGCGCTGTCCCGAGGACTTCCGCACACGCCGCAGGCGAGCCACGAGTCCACGTCGTTGATGACGGTACAAACGGCGCAGCTCCACGGCATCGTTAGGCCGCGCGTGTCGTGCTCTGAGCACTCGGAGGTCCATCGTTGAATAGCAAGTGAACTGATCGTGCCATTGGAGCTGCCGACTTGAAGCCTCTCACAAAACGAAACGGCGCCCGCGCGCATCATGCTCTCATAAGAGCAGCGTCGCGTTGACGCTCAGCATGCTCTGCCTCAACGAGCTGCCCGGCCGCAATGTGCAGTACTGGCACACGCTCGGCGCGCGGCCGAAGACCGTGGGCAGCCCCGGCCGGCGGCGGCCCATGAAGAACCGGGGCGGCCGGCCGCGGCCGCAGACGACGCCCGCCGAGTCGCCGAGCAAGGCGACGCAGCAGGCCTGGCTCGGCGAGCCCGGCCAGGCGCCGCGCTTCACGCCGGAGCCGCCCGGCGACGCCGGCGGCCGCGGCCGGCCCGAGTACGACGGCCCGCGGACGCGGACGCTGCACGCGCGGCCGCGGTCGACGCCGACGCCGACGGCGACCTTCTCGGAGAGCGGCAGCGGCTCCGAGAGCGACGGCGACGCGACGGGCGCGTCGCCCCTCGAGGCGCCGGAGAGCCCGCTGCCCGCGCTCCCGGCGGAGCGGGACGAGCCGCGGCCGGAGACGCCGGACAGCGCGTGCACAGACGACCTGCTCTACCCGCCGAGCCCCGGCCGGTCCGTCGGCGAGCCGAGCCCGAACTCGCAGAAGAAGAAGGGCGGCCTCTGGGCCATGCTCAAGACCAAGGACCTGGCCGTGGACGTCGCGGAAGACCTGCCGACCGTCGCGGACGCGCGCGCGCGACAGCCCGGCGCGGGCCGGAACCGCGGCGAGTGGGCCGTGGCCATGGGCCGCACGGCGCGCGACCGGAGCCCGCGGCGCGACGCGGGCTACACGGCGGCGCTGACGCGGCCCGTGCTCGTGTCGAAGATCCTCGAGTCGGGCGAGCTGAAGCTGCCGCACCGCCTCCGGGACGAGGGCGCGCTGAGCCTCGCGGCCGCGCTGTCCAAGGCGCTGACGGAGGAGAAGGACCGGCCCGTGAAGACCATCGACATCGGCTGGAACAAGCTCTCGGCGGCGGCCGTCAAGGCGACGGCGAACGTCGCCGCGGCGCCGGGCGCGCGCGTCGAGCGGCTCCTCGCCGCGGGCAACACGGTCGACTTCTTCGCGGCGCTCGAGGTCGCGCGCGTGCTCGCGCGCCAGGCCTGCGTGCTACGGGTCTTGGACCTGCAGCGCTGCGGCCTCACGGACCAGGTCGTCCACGTGCTCTTCGAGGTCGCGACGCGGAACCGAACTTTAGCGGCGCTCAACCTGCGGGAGAACGAGCTCAGCGACTTCGTGCGCGAGAGCGTGCGCGTCGCGCGCCAGCGCCACGCGGAGAAGCGGAGCATCCACGGGCTGAAGAAGAAGGACGAGCGCCGGGGCCACGTCGACCTCGCGCACCAGCCGAACGCCGCGAACAAGGGCCTGAGCCCGCTGCTCAAGGTCCGCGAGCCGTCGCACGGCGGCGGCCACGGCAACGCCAAGGGCGGCCACGGCGGCAACCACGCGCCGGGCCTGACGCTGAACCAGGCCGTGCGGCGCGTCTACGAGATCATCGAGGCCAAGGCCCAAGAAGACGCGACGCAGCGCGCGCACCACGGTGCGAACGCGCCCACGGTGCCCCTCGCCGAGTTCGTCACGACGTGGCACGAGCGGCGCTTCGGCGGCCGGGCGTCGGGCCACCGGAAGCAGCGCGAGCTGCTGTCGCTGCTGAAGGTGTCGCAGCACTTCAAGGGCGGCGCCGCGGCCGCGATGCTCGCCGCGAGCGCGCAGCACCACGGCGCGAAGCCCGGCGCGCCCCACGCCGTCCAGCCCCAGGACACGAAGCGGCGCATCGCCCAGCTCCTCGACGTGCTGGGCGTCGCGTCGGCGACGTGCGCGTGCTACACGCCTCTGACGGGCGACGTCTTCGTGCTGCTGCTCGGGCGGCTCTTCAAGCCGAACCACGTGGCCAAGGCGTTGGAGACGACGCCCCAGCTGCCGACCTACGCCTACCTCAACGCGCTCATGGGCGACTCCGCGGACCCGAACGTGCCCGCGACGTGGGACAACCCGCAGCTGTTGCCGCTCGCGAACGACATCCAGCTGCTGGAGATCGTCGAGCAGCTCGAGCAGCTCGGGAAGCGGCACCGGGGCATGATCCACCTGGACGACTTCTTGGACCACGTGCTCAACTTCATGTTCGCGCGCGCGCGGCAGATCACGGACGAGCTGCGGGCGGCGCTCTTCGAGCTCGGCGTCAAGGACAAGGCGGACCTGTCCTGGGACGAGTTCGTCGATCTTGTGGATTACTTCAACTCGGACCTGAGCCAGGAGAAGACCGTGGAATTGTACGAGGAGCTCACGGAGAAGCGGAGCCACGTGCCCCTGGAGGCGCTGGACAAGGCGCACGAAAAGGCGTCGCACCGGAAGAAGAAGGAAGCGGAGGCGACGGACGAGCTGCCCGAGGAGCGCGAGGCGGGCGAGCCCGTCGCCATCGATTTGGACCGTCTGATCATGGCGCTCTGGAAGAGCTCCGTCTTCCACGCGGCGGACCACAGCTCCGGTTTCGAGATCGCGACGAAGCTCATGCGGGGCATGATCTCCGGCGGCGGCGACGACGACGAACCGCCGACGTCGCCCAAGGCCGGGAAGCGCTCCTTGAAGGATGACGAGGAGAAGAGCGCCTACGCGGCCGTGCCCGTGGCGACGATCACGACGAAGTGGCGCTGCTCGCTCACGGAGCTCGACCTCGCGTGGAACCGCGTCGACGACCCCGGGGAGCTCACGGCGTTGATCAACGCGTCGCCGCACCTCGTCGTCTTAAAGTTCGCCCACAACAAGATCGGCTGCCCCGGCGCCGTCGCGCTCGCGGCGACGCTCGACCGCGCGGCGATTTTAGGGACGTCGCGGCCGCTCAAGAAGCTCGACCTCACCTGCTGCGGCATCGGCGCGCGCGGGGCGCTCGCGCTGGCGGACGTCATCGCCGAGCGGCTCAAGGTCCTGCCGAAGATCGTCGACGTCGGCCTCGGGCTGAATCCCCTCGGCGCGCTGGGCGCGCGCGCGCTGCTGCGCGCCGCGTCGCTCGAGGACGGCACGCTCCCCGCGGCCTCGCCGTCGAGCGCCGCCTCGAAGAAGGGCGCGACGCGGCGCTTCACGGCGAAGATGATGGCGCGCAAGCAGCCCAGCGAGCTGCGGCTCCAGCTCCGGGGCAGCTCCTTCGACGCGCCGGAGACGGCGGCGGAGTTGCTCCGCGCGTACGAGGGCAGCTGCGACGCGCTCGGCCTCGCCTTCGCGGACCCGGAGTGCGTCGTTTCTACTACCTCGGAACAGACCTTCAACATCGAGGGCTTCGAGCAGCGCGCGGCGGCGCGGCGCGCGATCCGCGTCGTCGCGCGGAGGCACGGCCGCTGGTTCGACAGGCTCGACTGGCGCTTCGCGTCGAAGCGGGGCTCCAAGGCCAAGAACTGGCTGCCGCTCACGCTGAACCGCGTGCTCCCGGGCGAGACCACCAAGAAGCGGCCCGCGCCGTCCGTCGCCGGCGCGACGCGGACCTGCTTCGACGCGCGGCGGACCGTGAGCCGGGGTAGGAAGACGAGCGGCCCGCCGGCGACGCGCGCGCCCGTGCTCGAGTGGCAGCCCGACGAGCCCTTCGTCGTGCCCCAGACGGGCGAGCTCCGGCTGCGCGTCGGCTACCGGCCGCGCGTCGCGACGGCGCTCCACTGCGCGACGACCGCGGGCCTCAAGTGCCTCCAGAGTTTGCTCTGCGACGCCGCGGGCGACCGCGACCGGCTCCTGGAGCTCGCCTTGATGGACGCGTCGCTGACGTCGGCCCAGGCCGTCGAGCTGCTCTGCGGCGTCTTCTACGCGCCGCCGGCCGCGGCGGCCCAGTGGCCCTCGGGGGAGGCCGCGGGCCCCGCGCGCGGCCGCGACGACCGGCGCCGGTCCGCGCGGAGCGCCGCGCGGCTCAAGGACACGATCTCCTACTACGCCGCGGCCGTCAAGGACGCCTGCATGGGGCTCGACCACCTCCCGAACCGGACGGACTTCGTCGACGACGACCACGTGACGATGCCGCAGACGCCCGACGTCGAGCGCGCGGTCGCGCGCGTGCTGCCCGCGCTCGTGGACCGGAGCCGCGCCGCGGCGCTCTGCCGCGTGTTCTTGCCGTCGGCGCGCACGGGCCGGTCCCTGCGCCGGCGCCTGGGCCACGCCTACGGCCCCTGCGTCGGGTCGCCGAACGGGCGGTACGCGCTCCGGCTGTGGCGGAGCTCGGACCGCCTCGCGCTGCGCCTGCTCCTGGAGCTCGACGACGCGGAGCGGCGCGAGCTGCGGGTGCGCCGGGGCCTGGGCCGCTTCGAGGCGTCGCACCAGCTCAGCGGCGACAGCAACTTAAGGGCCGTGCGGTGCCGCGCGACCGCGGCCGAGGACCGGCTCCGGGGCTCCGCGGCGCACGCGCACGTGCTCGAGGCCGCGGACCGGGCGTCGCTGCTCGAGGCGCTCCTCACGGCGCACCGGGCGTCTTTTGATTTGGACCGGCGCCGCGGCGAGCAGGCGGCGATCAAGTCGCCGGGGAACATTTTGGTGCACGTCGACTACGCGTCGACGTCGCGGCCGCGCCTCGGCGTCGAGCCCCACGAGGGCGAGGCCGTGCTGGGCATCATGGCCGCGAGCTCGTTGCCCGCCGTGGAGCCCGACCTGGAGACCTGTTTTCTGGAAGACGACGCCTGCGTCTGCCGCCACGCCGCGGCCGTCGACGCGGCCGCGGCCGCGGGCGACGCGCGGCCGCCGCCGCCGTGGCTCCTGGACCGCGACGACGCCGACGACCAGCTCAAGGTGCGCCACATCCAGTCGAAGATCCGGGGCCTGCAGACGCGCGCGCGCGTCGCCGCGCTCGTCCTCGACCGCGAGTCGCTCGCGGCGGCGACGCTCGGCGACGCGTCCGCGCGGACGTCCGCGACGGCGAAGAGCCGCAAGTCCAAGGGCGGCAAGAAGGCCAAGGGCGGCAAGAAGTCGGGCCGCGGGTCCCTCAAGGGCGCCGCCGCCGCCGCCGTCGCGGCCGCCAAGGGCCCGGAGGCGCTCGCGGCGTCGCCCGAGCCGTCCGTCGCGTCCATCCGGCTCGCGCTCCAAACAACGAGCCAGAGCCAGGGGGGGCGCCGGTCCGCGACGGGCGCGAACGCGCTGAGCCAGGGGTCCGTGACGTCCGAGGTCACGGGCACGGTCGCCGCGGAGGGCACGGTGTTCACCGTCGGCTCGGGCGGCTACGGCTCCGACGGCTTCGGCTCCGGCGACGAATTCGTGGACACGGAGGGCGTCGACCTGCTCTTCGTCGACTCGGGCTGGGTGCCCCACGTGCTGCCGCGGACGCTGGACCAGCTCGCGAGCCGCCGCGCGCGCGCGCGGCCGCCGGAGCGGCCCGACGCGAGCCCGGGGGCCGTCTTCGCCGCGGAGGCCGGCGAGTTCCGGGACGACGTGCTCGACGAGCTCCGGCTCCACTGCGGCAACCGGGGCCTGACCGTGGGGTCGCTGGCCCTCGTCGTCGCGCACTACGCGGGCGCGGCGGGGACGTACCGGAAAGGTTCGGCGGCCGCGGGCCACGGCGGCGCGTTCGTCGCCGACGGCCTGCGCGTCGTCGACGGCCGGCGGGCCGCGGACGTCGTCGTCGCCCTGGCGCCGAGCCTCGTGGACCTCGAGAACCTCGCGGGCGACCTGCTGCTCCGGCTGCCGTCGCCCGTCGCCGCCGAGGTCGCGGACCGCCTGGGCCTGCTGTGCGTCGCGCGGCCGCCCGACGCCCACGGCGACGCCCGCGACGGCTTCGTGCTGGGCACGCGGCGCGCGAGGCTCGACCTGGCCGACGCGGACCACCACGCGGTCGCGACGGCCGCGCTGACCGTGCTCTACCGCGAGCGCGGCGCGAGCCTCGACGGCTGCTGGTACCGGTCCGGCGACGCCTGGGACGCGGACGTGCTCGAGCCGCCCCCGGCCTGGCGCGGCGAGGCGTCGAGCGACGTGGCCTACCTGACGCCGCGCGCCGCGGAGCTGTCCTTCGAGGCCTACGCGGAGGCGGGCCGGCGCGACGCGCCGCTGCGCGCGCGCGTCGGCCGCCACCTCTTCCTCTGCCGCTCCACGAAGGCCAAGGTCGCTCTGGAGGACCGGGAGACGGCGCTCCACAAGAAGACGTCGCCCCACGACGGCGCGCTCGCGGAGGAGCGCGTCGACGCGCGGAGCCGCTGGTCGCCCGAGCAGGAGGACCTCGCGCGCGACTCGCCGCACTGCGTCGGCCTCATGGAGGCGCTGCGGTGGAGCCAGGCGAGCAACTACGCGCGGTCGGCCATGATGCTCCAGAAGGTCTGCCGCCAGTACGCGGAGCGGCGCGAGATCCAGTCGTCGACGATGGCGGAGCAGATCGACCGGAATTTACGGGAGTACCCGGGCCTGAGCCCCATCCTCAAGATGATCGACCTGCACATCCCGGAGCGACCGACGCCCTACGAGGAGGCCGTGGCGTGCTTCAACGCCGTGCTCCGCGACAAGATCTCCGCGGACGAGACGTGCGAGCGGAAAAGGCAGGCGAAGATGCCGTTCACGCAGTTCCTCCTCAAGTGGCACACGATGCGCTACGGCGCGTGCTACATGGCGCGCACGGAGCAGGGGCAGCTGCTGGCCTTCGTCCAGGACTTCGTGCGCCACTGGCGCCACGAGCACGCGGAGGCGCACGCGATGTCCGCGGTGACGCGCCACGCGATGGCGCCGCGCATGCGCCAGTGCTGCATCATCGCGGGCATCGCGCCGCTCCAGGTGCACCTCTACTCGCCGATCATCGCGGAGCAGTACGTGCTGTTGCTGCGGCGCCTCGCGCCGTCGACGTTCGACCTCGAGCGGTGCCTCGACTACACGTCGGCGCCCGGCGGCGCGGCGCGCGGCAACCACGTGGCCCTCGACGCGGCCATCGCCGCGGTGACGGGGTCCGGCGACCGCGACGACAGCGAGGACGAGTACGACGACGAGGAGGACCACGGCGTCGAGGTCGACGCGCCGTCGACGTGGGACGCGCCCATCCTGCTCGCGCTGACGGGCGACGCGATGCTGTTGACGCTCGTCACGGACATCCGCTCGAAGGCGAAGCGGGGCTTCGTCGACCGGCGGAAGACGACGCCGCTCTCGGGCCGCGAGTCGTTCAAGGACGCGGAGAAGGACCAGCGGGTCTTGGAGACGGACGACCTGCTGGACACGGTGCTCAAGTTCCTGCTGGACCGCGCGTCGGAGATGCACACGCACCTCGTGCGCATCTTCGAGAAGGTGCGCAAGTCGCGGCCGCGCCTGTCGCTCGACGACTTCCACCTGCTCCTGTCGCGCTACTTCGGCGCCGACGACGTCGCCCACACGTCCCTCGCGACGTCCCTCTTCGAGTCCATCGCCAAGGTGCGGCTCGGCACCGACGGCTCCGAGGCCGCGCACGTGCAGATCAACTACGAGGAGGGGGTCGTCGTCGACCCGACGCGCGCGGCGACGAGCCTGTGGAACGCGGGCATCTTCCCGACGAAGCGCATGAGCCACCTCGCCACCTGGCCGTTCTAAGAGCTATGTCGGGGTCGTTTTTTTTAGTCGTCGCGGTCGCTGCGCCAAAAGGCGAGGACGTGGCCGAAGACGCCGTCGGGCGTCTTCAGGAAGAGCCGCTCGTGCGCGCGCACGCTCGACGACGGCGCCGCGCGGCCGCGCTCGCGGAGGGTCGGGAGGCGCTGGCGGAGGGCCAGGAGTTCCTTGCGCGGCGCGTCGATGTACGGGACCCAGCCGCCCGCGGCGCGGACGGCGGCGAGGAGGTCGGCCGTGGCCATGGAGCCGCGGAGTTGCGCGACGCCCTCGGCGTCTCGGCCCGTCGAGCGCGTGCGCGCGTCGAGCGACGCGCCGCGACTCAGTAGGAGCTTGCACGTCTTGGAGTTATTGTGCCGGGCTGCTTTGTGGAGCGCGGTCCAGCCATTCGCGCTGACGTTGTTGACTCGTGCGCCCGCGTCGAGCAGCAGGACGGCGGCGTCGCAAAAGTCGTATTTTGCGGTAATGTACAGTGGCGTCAGGCCAAGTGGACGTCCCAAGTGGGATGGCCAGCCCAAGTGGACGTCGGCGCCCTGTTGGAGCAGCCATTTTATGGCCGAGCACCAATTGTAACCAGCTGCGTAATACAGGCGCGTAAAACTAGTCCCGCTCTCGATCACACCAGCATCTCCGTCGGGTCTCGCGTCAACGAGCGCGTCAAGGTAGCCGCCCGAAGCGTGATACTGCGCAGTTTGGACGATGAACGAGCACTCCTGCGAGGTGACCATCGCGCCGGGCTGCAAGGCCTAAATTGAACTCGATGGTGCAGCTGTGCAAGCGCGCCAGCGGAAACCTCGAGATGGCCACTCGACCGAGCGCGCAAGCGCTCGCGAATGCCGCTCGCGCGGTATCGGACGACAAGCCGCGGCGCAACCGGCGCACGAAGCCGGAGGCGGCGAACGCGCCGCCGCCGCCTCCGACCGAGAAGCGAGCGGCGCCTCGCCCGAAGCCGAAGCGGCGACCGAACCGCGCGCGGCGCGACGACGGCGCGAGCGCCGCGGCGGAGGCGGTCGTCGCTCGGGATCCTCGTGCCGTCGTCGCGGCCGAAGCGCCGAGATCCGCGGAGGTGTCGCCGGGCATCCTCGACGCCTGGGTGGCGACGCAGCTGCGGCGCGGCGTGAAGCCGTCGATCCCCGACGCCATGGGCTACCTGCGCAGCGTCGGCGTGAACCTGCGCCAGCTCGACGACGACCGGCGGCAGGCGTGGCTCGACGCCATCGAGGCCACGGTCGACCGCGCCGCGGCGGCGGACGACGTTTCGGAGGCCGCGGAAGCGCCCGCGGAGGCGCCGGCTGTGATCGTCGTCGAAGCGCCGGTGGCGACCGCCACGGAAGCGCCGGCGGCGACCTCCGCGGAAGCGCCGGCGGCGACCGCCGCGGAAGCGCCGGCGGCACAGGCGATCGTCGTCGAAGAGCGCTGGAAGCCCCTGCCGCCGCGGCGCCGCGCGAAGCGCCCCGCGAAGGACTCGTCCGCGGTCCCGGCGCCGCCGGCCCCGGCGGACGCGCCCGCGGAGCAGGCCGAGCGCCATCGGGACGACGCCGCGTCGGAGGCGACCGCCGCGGAAGCGCCGGACGAGCCGACCGAGGACGCGCCGGCCGGCGGCGACGCGCTGCCGGACGAGGACGCCGCCGTCGCCGCCGTGGGCGCCTCCCTCGCCCGCGCGCGGGCGGCCATCGGCGAGGACGAGGCGCTCGCGGAGCGCGCCGCGGACGTCGCGGCGCTGTCGCTCCTGCGATGGCTCGGCGAGGGCCTCGACGAGGCTTCCCGGGCCTACGTGGCGAAGATCGTCGTCGACGAGGCCCTCTCGGAGGACGACGCCGGCGACGCCCTCGCGAGCGCCGAGGAGGCCGCGCGGCCCTTCCTGCTCGAGGACGAGGACCGCGCGGACCTCCGGCGCGTCCTCGCCGCGGCGGCGGCCGCGGCGTTCGCCGCGGTCGCCGACGGCCACGCGTCGACCAAGGCCGCGCAGCTGCGGTCCCTCGGCTCGTTGCGGGAGTGCTTCCCGCAGGTCCGCGAGGCGACGGTCGCCGCGTACCTCGCGGAGCACCGCGACGTCAACGCGGCCGCGGAGGCGCTCTACGCCGAGGCCGAGCGCGTGCTCCGGGACATGGAGCAGCAGGAGAGCCTCGACCGCCGGGTCGCGCGCCAGGGCGCCTTCTTCACGCACCGCCTCTCGAAGGACGAGCGCGCGCGATTGTTGGACGAGTTCGCGTCGCGGCCGCCGATCCCCGCGGGCGGCCACACGACGGGCTGCCACGTCGCGCCGGGCAAGAGGGAAGCCCGCAAGCAGACGCGCTACCGCGACGGCAAGGTCGCGACGCTCACGGGCGAGAAGTTCCTCGTCCAGCCCAAGGAGACGGCCGACTTCGTCAAGCAGACGTCCGTGTCCCTCCGCATCTACGCCGGCGGGCGGACGCACTAAGGTTTAGAAAGCGGCAGTCGTGGGGACGAGGCGCGGCCCTAGCCCGAGATGCGCTCGACCTCCTCCGCGCCCCAGCGCGAGGACACCTTCTTCGTGTTCTTGACGCGGTTCGCGTAGGCCGCGTCCGTCGCCGTCTCCGCCGCCGCCGCGGGCGCCGCGTCCGCGGCCGCCGCGACGAGCGCGTCGACGGCGTCGAGGCGCTCGAGCTCCTCGGCGCCCCACCGCGCGTTCACCGACTTGCTGCCCTTGCGCCTCAGGTACGACGGGTTCACGGCGCCGGCCGGCGCGGCGGCGACGGGCGCGGCGGGCGCGGGCGCGGCGGGCGCGGGGGCCGCCTTGGCGGCGGCGGGCGCGGCCTTGGCGGCGGCGGGCGCGGGCGCGGCCGCCGGATCCATGACGATCTTCGTCGCCGCGACGGGCGCCGGCGCCGCGGCGGGCGCCGCGGGCGCGGCGGCGACCCCGGCGAGCTGCGCCTCGAGCTCGGCGATGCGCGCCTCCATCTCCGCCGTCGCCTCGGCCTTGGCGCGCGTGATGGCCTCGAGGCGCGCCTCGTGGGCCTTCGCCATGTAACTGATCATCCACTCCTGCTGCTCGTCGATCTCCGTGGACCGGCGCGGCGCCGCGCGGAGGGCGCGCGGGCTCCGGGGGACCCAGGCCGTCGCCACGGCGAGGACGAGGATGGCTGTAATCTTGGTTGCCATGTTGTCGCGTGACGAAGACAATCGTCGCGGCCGCTCGAATCGATTCGCCGTCGCTGCTGCTGCCTTCTCGCGCCGTCAACAGCGAGCATGGCGGCTCTCCGATGCATCCTGACCATTGCCGCAGCCTCGGCGCTGCCCCAGGGCTGGGAAGCGACGCTCACGAAGGAGCTCCAGAAGATCGCGGACCACGAGACCGCGAAATGGAACACGTCCTTCAGCATCGCGTTCCAGAACGGGGCTGGGTCCGCGAGCGCCGCCGCGGGCGACATCGGCGGCGGCAAGGTGGCGACAGTCGACGACGACTACGTCTGGGGCTCCGTGACCAAGGTCGTGACGGGCGCGTCGATCCTCAAGCTCGCGAGCGAGGGCCGCTTCGACCTGCGATCGCCGATGGCGCCGCTCGTCGACCGCTTCCTCGCGAAGCTCTCCAAGCAGCCGGACTCAGCGTCGAGCGACGGGAGTGTTTTTTCGCGTGAATGTCGCCTGAAGATGTGAAGAAATCCGACCCCGTCGCACTTGGTAGGCCGGACTGGCGCCACGACTGGTCGAGCCTCGGCGAGCTCTGGGGCGACCAGAACGTGTCCACGGCGACCATCGAGGAGCTGCTCCACATGCAGTCGCGCGTGCCTGATTTCGACACGGCGACGCCGTGCGGCCGGTCGTCGGGCCCGGGCTGCGCGCCCACGGACGACCTGCGCAAGACGCTCTACCGCACGAAGCAGGGCTTCACGCCGCCGGAGCTCCTCGACGTGCCCTGGGTCGCCCACCGGTGGGCGGCGAAGTGCGCGAGCCGCCACGAGGGCATGGCGCCGTTCTGCTACTCGTCGACGAACTTCATGCTCCTGGGCATGATCCTCGCCGACGCGCTGAACGCGTCGTCCATCGAGGCCCTGGACCAGGGCCATTTTTTACCGGACGAGCTCCGGACGAGGCTCCGCTTCGCGAACGACGGCCGCCCGCCGTCGGCGTACTCGCCCGTCCACGGCATCGACCGGACGTCCTACAACGTGCCCAAGGGCGCGAAGAACGACAACGACGACTCGTCCGTGCCGGGCGTCTTCTCGGGCTGGACCGCGTCCGACGTCGTCGGCCCGCCCTCGGCCATCGCGGACCTCGCCTTCCAGGTCTACGCGGCGCACGCCGTCGCGCCCGCGGCCTACGTGGCGAAGATGGTGCCGTCCGACGGCGGCGACGGCGCGCCCTACGAGATCTACGGTTTGGCGACGCACAACCTGGGCTCGCGCACGGGCCAGGACAAGTCGGCCTGGGGCGTCGCCTACGGCCACCTCGGCGCGACCTACGGCTACCAGTCCATCGTCGCCTACTTCCCGAAGCTCGGCGCGACCATCGCCGTCGCGACGGCCCTGGAGACCGACGACCAGCAGCAGCCCGCGGACGCGCTCTGCCTCTCCTACAACAAGGCCATCGACGTGCTCCTCGAGCTCGACCACAACTGCACCTACGTCGTCGGCGACTACTACTCCGGCGGCTGCAAGTGCGACCCCGTCCCGGAGGCGCGCGCGTGAGTGGGCACGGGCGGCGCGGGTAAGGCTCCGTACGCGTGCCAGGACTGCGCCCGAAGATGCCGGCGACCCCCGGCGCCCGGGGCGCGCGAGGAGGCCTTGCGCCGCAAGTGATGCGCAATGTGCCTGTCACTCGACTCTTCGAAGCGCTGAGACAAGCTCACCCGAGCTGCTGAGATAAGACCACCGCGCCCTAGCAGAGAAACACAGCTCATGGTCAAGCACAAGGCGCCGCGGCGCCACTCGAAGACGCGCTACGTCGGCGGCACGGTCCACAAGCCGCCGCAGCGCCGCAGCGGCGACGTGAACGACCTCGACCTCGAGAGCCTCCAGCTCACGGAGGAGGACCGGCGCGCCGCGGGCGCGACGCTCGCGAGCGAGGCGCGCGCCGTCGGCGTCGCCGCGACGGCGTCCTGGGACGCGCTGCGACGCGCGCGGACCGTCGGCGTCGCCGCGTTCGGCACGCACTTCGAGCCGCCGCTCCTCGTCGCCGCGTGCTGCTACGACGCGGAGACGGCGAAGTTCGCGTGCGTCCTCGAGGCGCCGCGCGGCGGCCTCTCGAGCGACCTCCGCGCGCTCCTCGGCGACGAGGCCGTCGTCAAGGCCTACTGCGACGACCGATGCGACGGGTCCGTGCCGGGCCTGCTCGGCGGCGCCGCGGGCGTCCGGAGCGCCGTCGACGTGCAGCGCCTCGCGCCCGCGGACGCCTTCGACGTCGGCGTCTCCGGGTCCCGGAGTCTCGCGAGCCTCTTCTCGGCGCACTTCGCGGGGCGCCGCGTCGCGTCGGGCCGCCGCGACTTCGACGCGCGCGTCGCGGCGCTCCGGGAGCGCCCCGGCCCGGGCTGGCCGTTCGGCGACGGCCTCGCGGACGACGCCGCGGCCGTCGCCTGGGCGACGCTCGCGGTGCACGCGGCGCTGAGCGCCGCCGTCGACCGCGGCGACGCGCAGATCGAGGCCATGTACACGCTCGCCGCGGCGCGGCGCCTCCGCGGCGCGCCCGGCGTCGTCCTCGAGGACGGCGTCGTCGAGGACGTCGAGGTCCGCGGCGCGCCGGGCGTCCTCCTCGACGTCGCGGAGATCGCCTTCGACGACGACGCGATGCTCGACGACTCCGGCGACGGCTCGCCGCCGCCGCCGCCGACGACGCCCGCGTGCCGGTCCGCGTCGAGGCGCGGCCACGCGGACGTCGCCGCCGCGCTGGCCAAGGCCGCGAACCTGCGCCTCTCGCCGGACGCCGACGACGGCGGCGTCCGCCGCGCGGGCTTCTCGCCCGGGCCCTCGCCGCTCGCCGAGCGGTCGACGCCGCCCATCGCCCTCGTGCCGCCCGCGCCCGCGGCCGACGCGCTCCGCGGCCCGGCGCCCGCCGTCGGCAAAGCCGCGCGGCGACGGCGCGCGTCGCGCTTCTGGTACTAAGAGGATGGGGCCGTGGTCCTAACAGGTCGCGTGAGACGCGGCGGGCGCCCAAAAGGAGCTCGCGAGCTTTTAATGCGGCCATCCTACTCCGGGAAGCGGATCCGGAGCTTGCGGTCCGTGAAGCCCGTCGTCGTGTACATGTCGACGAACTTGTCCCACATGGCCTCGGGCGCGCAGTCGACGAAGGTCGTCGCGCACCAGCCGCCCTCGCCCAGGCCCGCGCGGACCTTGGCCGCGGCGCTCAGGAGCCTCGCGCCGGGGAAGCCGCCCGTGAGCCACGCCGTCAAAAAGAAGCCCTCGAGCTTCTTGCCGCGGTAGATCAGATCCACGGGCGCGACGCCCTCGATGTCGCCCGAGAGCCGACCGTACGAGTAGAGCGTCGCCTTCGGCGGCAGGTTCGTGAAGAGGCAGCCCGCCATCGCGCCGGCGACGGCGTCGAAGGCGCAGGTCACCTTGAGCTCGGCCATCTTCGCCTTGAGCGCGGCGACGCCCGCCTCGTCGGTCTTCGCGTCGGCGACGACGACGACGTGCGCGGCCCCGAGGCTCTCCAGGATCGCCTTCTGCTTCTCCGAGCGGACGACGTTCAGCAGCGCGTCGCCGGCGCCCTCGAGCTTGGCCAGCTTCACGAGCATCTGGCCCAGTTGCGACGCCGCGGCCGTGTGCACGAAGGGCCGGCCGTTGGCCTCCTTCAAAATTCCATAGGCCGTGAACGGGTTCACGAAGAAGGAGCACGCGTCCTCGACGGGCAGAGCGTCGGGCATGGCGAAGGTCGTCGCGAGCGGCGCGGCTACGTATTCGCTGTAGGCGCCCTGCTTCTTCGCGCCGACGAAGCCGACCTTGGCGCCGACGCGGAGCCCCGCCACGGTCGCCGCGATCACCGAGCCGACGGCGACGACGACGCCGCTGCCCTCGTTGCCGATGGGCACGGGGCCGTCGCCGCGCTTGCTGCGCCAGGACCCGTAGTCGCTCGGGTTGATCGGCGCCGCCGCGACCTTGACGAGCACCTCCGTGGCCTTGGGCGTCGGCGTCGGGCACTCCTCGAGCTCGAGCTTGGCGTCGGTGAGGTCGTCGCCGGAGGCCTCCACGAGCACGAGGCGCTTCATCGTCGCGGAGACGCTCATGATGTCGAGTTGTGCGACTTGGCCAAGGTTTGCCTCAAGTTGACGTCACAGCCCGCTCTCTTAACCGCTCTCCCACGTCCTCGACGCATCATGATCGCGACATGGAAGTGGCGGCCGATAGCCTCCGGCGCCCCCCGCTAAAGACCGCTTGCTTATGCTCGGCCGGGGCGCGCGCGGCGTTACCGCCCCGGCGCTGCTTGGTTTCTTGGGTGCGCCCTCAGCGCTTGGCCTTCTTCTTGGCGGGCTCGGGCGCGACGGCGCCGTCGGCGAGGGGCCCCGGGAAGGCGCCCGCGGCGGCGAGGACGAGGCCGTAGAAGGGCGGCGACGGGTTCTGCGGCCGGCTCTTGAACTCCGGGTGGAACTGGCAGCCGATGTAGTAGGGGTGGGCGGACCGGGGGAGCTCGATGATCTCCATGCGCCGGCCCGTCTCGTCCTTGCCGACGAACTTGAGGCCCGCGGCCTCGAGGTCGCCGACGTAGTCCGGGTTGACCTCGTAGCGGTGCCGGTGCCGCTCGGAGACGGCCTTCTTGCCGCGGTAGATGAGGTGCGCGATGGACTCGGACGCGTCGGCGCCCTCGATGAGCGTGTCGCGGGCGCCGAGGCGCATGGTGCCGCCCATGTCGCCGTCCTCGTCGATCTCGGGCATGAAGACGACGGCGGGCCGCGGCGTCGCCTTGTCGAACTCCGCGCTCTTCGCGTCGGCCCAGCCGAGCACGGAGCGGCAGTACTCGACGACGGCGAGCTGCATGCCGAGGCAGACGCCCAGGTAGGGCTTGCCGGATTCGCGGCAGAACTTGGCGCACGCGATCATGCCCTCGGTGCCGCGGTCGCCGAAGCCGCCGGGCACGACGACGCCGTCCGCGCCCCTGAGCTTGGCCCAGGCCCCGTCGTAGGCCGCCGCGTCGGCCTTCTTCGTGCCGTCCTCCAAATCCGTCGACTCGATCCAGACGACCTCGAGCTTGCGCCGGGCCTCGATCGACGAGTGCTTGAGCGACTTGAAGACGCTGAGGTACGAGTCCGAGAGGCCCGTGTACTTGCCGACGATGGCGATGGACACGCTGTCCTCGAAGGTGTCGACGTCCAGCGCCATCTTGCGCCAGGCGGCGAGGTCGCAGCGGCCCTCGCGCTGCTCGGGCATGCCGCAGTCGCGCGTGAGCTCGAGCGACACGCGGAGGATCTCGTCCATGCCCTGCTCGAGGAGGAGCAGGGGCACGTGGTAGATGTTCGCGACGTCGTGGACGCTCAGCACGTGGGACGCGGGCACGTGGCAGAAGATGCCGAGCTTGGACCGCGTGGAATCTTCCAATTCGTCGGCGGCGCGGCAGACGATGACGTCGGGCGACAGGCCCAACCCGCGGAGCTCCTTGACGCCGTGCTGCGTCGGCTTCGTCTTCTGCTCGCCGACGGAGCCGAGGCAGGGCACGAGGGACACGTGGACGAGGCAGAAGTCGCCCTTGGGCACCTGGAACTGGAACTGGCGGAGCGCCTGTGTGGAAATCAACCACTGGTTTGGGGGGTCCCCACCAAACTTCAGAACTCTCTATCTCAATCAAATCGAAGTCGATTCGGCTGATTTTTGGACGGATCGATTGCTCTCGTCGAGTTCTCGAAGCACGGCAGAAAGCCTCGCGTCGAAACGGTCGCATACGCGCACATTGAAGTCGGGTTGAAGATTTGATTTCCACACAGCGGAGCGCCTCGAGGAAGACGGACGACTCGATGTCGCCGACGGTGCCGCCGACCTCGACGAGGCAGACGTCGGGCGGGCCCTCGAGGCCGTCCGTCGGGATCTGGGCGACGCGCTCGATCCAGTCCTGGATCTCCTGGGTGACGTGCGGCACGACCTGCACGGTCTTGCCCAGGTAGTCGCCCTTGCGCTCCTTCGCGAGCACCTTGGCGTAGACCTTGCCCGTCGTGATGTTGTGGTCCCGCGTGAGGCTCAGGTCGAGGAACCGCTCGTAGTTGCCCAGGTCCAGGTCCGTCTCGCCGCCGTCGTCGAGCACGAACGTCTCGCCGTGCTCGAACGGCGACATCGTCCCCGCGTCCGTGTTCAGGTAGGGGTCGATCTTGATGGACGTCACGCGCAGGCCCGCGGACTTGAGCAGGCGCCCGATGCTCGAGATCGTGATGCCTAAACGTCGGCGCGTTGGGTGCGAACAAATGGGGGACTTCCTTTGAGCGACGGACGCCGGGCGGCGGACCTTTGCCGAGGCCGGAGACGACGCCGCCCGTGACGATGACGTACTTCATGACTGCAAGAGGCCGCTGCGGTGCTCGTCGGCGCGCGTCCTTCGCGCTGCGGCACGCAAGGTTTATGTCGAGACCACCTGGTCTTCGAGCAGGGCGAGGACCGAGGTGCTGCTCCGTTCAGATCAAATCGCTGCAACCAACCGATGTCTGTTTCAACATTGGCCTCGGGACAAAAGATCTCGCTCGCGCGAGCATGTCTGTGGGACGCGTCGTCTCTAGTTCCGGGGGTCGTGCAGAGCTCGGGTGAATGTCCATCGCCGGCCCGACTCGACTCTGGCATTTTGCATCTGGTTCGCGCGTCAACCGCGGTCGCCGAGAGCGTGATAAAGCTGCCTGCGGGGAAAGTGGCCCCTTCGAGCCCGAAGAGTCGCCGTTTGCCGCCGACCTCCTGCCCCGACGCGTCCGCTTCCCGTGGAGATGACGGCCGCTGAGGGGCGCCAGGCGTCGATTTAGGCGTCGACCCCCCGGTGCGGCGCTGGCCGGGGCGCTGGCTGGCCAACCTCAACTCTGAGGCGGCGAAGCAGTCGTATGTGCCAGCGTCCCGGGTTGATGCGGAGTGTTTGACGCGACGCGCCGCGAGATGCGGTCCGAGAGAGTCACGGGAGCGGGGCGGAGCGTGCGGTCTTTTCGCACGTCGAATTTCGCCCGGAAGCGACGCTGACGGGCGGACGTGGCCTCCGAGAGAGCTTCGCGGAGCGCAACGTCGCGCGGGGCCGCGGGGCGCCCGCCACAAGCCCCGAAAACACACCCACACACGCTGCAGCGCTCGACTGCCCCACTGCTTAGGTAGAAACATGGTCCGCATCGCCCTGGTCGCGCTCCTCGTCGGCGCCGCGGCGGCGTTCGCGCCGCCGTCCCCGCTCGCGCGGCCGGCGACGGCCCTCGCGGCGAGCCACGGCAAGTCGGGTTTCAAGAAGCTCGCGCTCCCCGCGGACCAGCGCAAGGCGCTGCTCCGGAGCCTGACGACGGAGTGCATCCGCCACGGCCGCATCACGACGACGCTCGTCCGCGCCAAGGAGGCGAGCAAGCACGTCGACCACATGATCCAGCTCAGCAAACGGGGCGACCTCCACGCGCGCCGCCAGGCCATGTCGTGGATGACGGACAAGCAGCTCGTCCACGCGCTCTTCGAGCAGGGCGCCGGCCGCTACGCGGACCGCGAGGGCGGCTACACGCGCGTGCTGCGCACGATGCCGCGCTCCGGCGACAACGCCAAGATGGGCATCCTCGAGCTCGTGTGAGCGCGCACGTTCGTCGCGCGCGTCGCCCCCGCTCTCGCGCGGATGTGGCGCGCTCTTTGCCCTCCCCTTTCCCTACTAAACATACTACCAGAAAGATGCTGCGGCGCCTTTGGCGGCGAGAGAGACGGGCGGGCGCCCGCGCGCCTCGTCGACGCGTCCCCGACGCGTCCCCGCGCGCTCCGGGGCCCTAGGCGTCGGCGCGACGCCGCGCCCGCAGCGGCACCTTGGCGCTCCGTGGACAAAGTGCTCTCTCGACTCCTGTCGACTGGACGAGCGGCATGGGCGCTTGTAGCGCACAATTCTAAATTTTGCAGAGCCCTTACAAGGAGATGGAGCTCCTCGCACCCGGCGTGGCGGCGCCAGTGGAGCTGCGTAGCGTCGTCGGCGCGCTCGTGGCCGCCCGGGCGCCGCGGCGCCAGCCCATCAAGCCGGCCGCGGACGCGCGGGACGGGGCGACGGAGACGGCGGCCGTACGGGTTCCCGGCGTCGGCGAACAGCGCATTCGCCTCAAACTCACGAATCATAGGTGGCGCGCGCGGAGCTGCGGCGCCAGCGCCAGCCCAAGGGCGGGAGCCGCGGCGAAACCGCCGACGACGACCGCGCGGACGCGCGGCCCTGGACCCTGGGCGCGGCGCTCGACGCGAGCTCGGCGTCGGGCCTCGCGCGCGCCCTCGGCGGCTTGCTCCGGAGCGACGCGGCCGTCGACGCGCCGGGCGTCGCGCGCCTGCTCCGGCTCCGGCCGCTGCCTTTGGCGCACTACGCGGCCGCGCTCCGCGACGCCGCGGAGCGGGAGCGCGACGCGTGCTACCGGCGCGCGCGCGTGCGCATGCGCTACGTGGACGCGACGTCCGTGGGCTGCGGCGAGGGCGACGACTTCGACGTGCGGCGCCGGGGCGTCTTAGCCGCGTGCACGAACGTCCGCTGCCCGCGGCGGCGCGACGCCGCGGGCCACAAGGCGCGCTACTACTTCGAGGCGACCGTGCGCGGCGCCGGCGCTACCGTGGGCTGGGGCGACGCGGCGTCCGACGACGCGCGGCTCTTCGCGGGGCTTAGGGTGGGCCCCGGGGACCGGCGGGGCGCGCTCGAGCTCGGCCGCGGCGCGGAGGGCGCGCTCGAGGTCGACGTGTCGCCGGCGGACGGCGCCGAGGAGCCGGAGAAGGCGCCGGCGTCCGTCGTCGTCGGCTGCCTCTACGACCACCTCGCGGCCGTCGCCGCGTTCTCCGTCGACGGCGTCCTCGTGCGGTGCGCGTCCTTGGTCGACGGCGCGCCGGGCCCCCTCTTCCCCTGCTGCGTCTGCCACCACGCGCCACCGGCGCCGGACGTCGAGGAGAAGAAGGCGCCCCTGCGCGAGGAGGACGACGACTCGAAGCTGCCCGAGTCGGACGGCGACGAATCGCCCGCCGCGCCGGGCGGCGGCTGCCGCGTCAACGTCGGCGGGTCGCCCTTCGCCCACGAGCCCGACGCGCTGGCGCACCGGGCCTGCGCCCTCGTGACGCGCGGCGGCCAGGCGGAGACCGCGCCGCCGCCGAAGGTCAAGTGCAAGGCCGCGCGGTCGGCGACGTGCGGCGCGTGCCTCCGGGCGCCCCTGACCGTGTCCCTCGCGGCGCTCCTGGCCGCGTCGGACGACGGCGACGACGGCGACGACCGGGGGTCGACGCACGAGCTCATCTGCCGCGTGGACACGGACGTCGACCCGGGCGACGCGATGTGCCTCTTCGTCAGGGGCCACGGCGCCCGGAGCCTGTCCTACTGGTTCCTCGCGGAGCACGGGGACGGCGGCGTGGCCTTCCAGGTCCTGGTGCTCGTCGTCGAGCCGGCGGCGGAGGGCGGGCCGGGCGCGTTCGTCGCGGCGGCGCACGCGTCCGTCGGCTCCGTCGGCGCGCTCCGCGGCTGGCGCCACGTCGCCGTGGCCCGGTCGCCGCGGTCCGGCGCCGTCGACGTGTACTGCGACGGCGCCCTCGTGCCGACCGTAGAGCGGGCGCCGGGCGACGCGCTCGCGGCGGACCTCGCGGCGCGCGTCAACGACGCGGTCGACGCGGCGGACGGCCACCTCTGCGCGTTCGGCGTGCCCGCGATCCCGCTCGCGGGCGACAGCGCCCACGACTCGCGCGTGCTCGGCGCCGTCTCCGAGTGCCGCGCCTGGAGCGAGCACCGGGGGAAGCGCGCGGTCGCCGCGCGCGCGTCGCGCGGCGCGTGCGGCGGCGACGAGCCGCGGCTCGCGGGCCTGTGGCCCGTCGACGAGGGCGTGGGCCACGTGGCGCGCAACTGCGCGACCGACGCGCCGCCGCATCTGAAGGCGCCCGTGCCCGTCGACGGCGCCGCGTGGCTGTCGCTCGACGATAGCGGCGACGCGGCGCCGCCGCCGCCGCCGCGCGTCGTCCGCGACGACGACGAGGCGCCCGACGTCGCGGCGTCTCGCGACGCCGCGGCCTTTGAAGTCGATGCGGCGGGCGACGACGTCGAGGCGGCGGCGCGGCGCGCCGTGGGCGACGCGCGGGACCTCGGCGCCGGCGACGCGCTCGACGGGCCCGCGGCGGCCGAGGCGTGCTTCGCGCGCGTCTACCAGTTCGCGTCCATCTCCCTGTCGGCGGCGACGCGGGGGCCCGGCGACGACGCGCGGCGGCTCCGGGCCGACGCGGACGAGGCGAGCCGTTTAGTGGTCGCGCGGCCGCAGCTCGCGGCGACGTTGGACGCCGTCGTCGCGACGATGGGCGACGCGCTCGACGACGGCGGCGCGGGCGAGCGGCGCGAGCGGCTGCGGGCGCTGGCGGCGCTGGCGACGGCGCGCTGGGCGCGCGCGGCCGTGCGGCGCCTCGCGCGGAGCCGCGCGTCGACGCGCGAGGCGAACCTCGGGTCGCCGCTCCGCGACGCGCTCGTCGCGAACGCGGCGCGCGTCGCGGCGCTCGACGGCGCCGGCGACGGTCGCGCGGCGTGCCTCCGGCGCGCGGCGGCGGCGGAGGCGGCGGCGCTCGTCGCGGAGCATCTGGATCTATTGTACGACGACGCCGACGAACGAGTCGCGTTCGTCCACGACTGCCTCAGGACGGCGCACCTCGGCCCGGCCGTCGGGGCCGCCGTCGCCGCGTCGGCGGGTTTGCTGAGCGAGCTCGTGCCGTCCGTGCTGCGGCCGCGGACGCTCAACGACTGCGCGCGCGCGGGCCGGAACGCGCGCGACGACGACGACGCGGAATTCGAGTACGTCGACCGCGTCGCGCCGCGCGTCGGCGACGTCTGCGTCCACGCGTCGGACTGCCGGCCCGCCGTGTCCGCGGCGGCGGCGAAGCGGCCGACGGCGACGACGCGGGGCCGCACGCTCGGCGTCGTGAAAGCTGTGGATATAGCGCGGCGGTGCCTGACGGTCGCGTGGGTCGCGGGGCCCCGCCGCGAGTTTCTCCCGCGGTCCCGGCTCGCCTACGACGGCGCGCGGAGCGACGTGCGCCTGCGGCGGCGGTCCGCGCGGCGGTTCTTGGCGCCGGCGCTGCAGGCGGACGCGGAGAAGGGGCCGGAGGACGACGTCGCGTCGCCGCGGCCGCTGCAGAAGCGGGTGTTGGTGGACGCGCTGCGCTGCGTCGCGTCGCGGGCCTGGCTCGACCGGCGCCATTTGGTATTAGACGCGCCCAAGGCGCGCGGCGCGCCGGAGAAGGCGCCCGCGCCCTCCGCGCCCGCGTCGAAGAAGACGCAGTCGACGTCCGCGTCGTCGGCCGCGGCGTCGACGGCGGCGTCGAGCGGCCCCGCGTCGTCGTCCAAGTCCGACGACCCGGGGGACGACGTCGTGCGGTCGCGGACGCTGGCGGCCCTGGGGGAGCTCTACGCGGACGCCTGCGGCGACTTTGGGTGCTGGCCGCCCGCGCTCGGCGACGGCGGTTTGGCGCGCGGCGACGTCGAGTACCGCCGCGCGGGCCTGCTGACGCCGCTCGTGGAAGCCCTCGTGCGCGACCTGGCGACGCCCTGGAAGCGCACCCTGTTCCACGCCGTGCTCGCGGAGCTCGGCTGCGGCGACGACGCGCCGTCGAAGACGCGGGCCGCGCTCTTCGCGGGCGCGGCGCCCGCGCCGCTCGTCGCGGCGCTGCGGGGGCTCGCGGCGGCGGCAGCGGCGCCAACACCCGCCGGCGCGGGCCCGGACGACGCCGCGGCGGTGCCGGGGGCGCTCGCGGCGGCGCTCGCGGCGCTCTGCCGCTTCGAGTCCGTCGGCGCGGACGACGCGGAGCCCGTCGGCCGCGCGGTCGCCGCGGCCGTCGCCGCGCCGCCGCTCGCGGCGAGCGCGCTCGCGTCCGACGTGCGGCGCCTCGGCGCCCGCGTCGCCGCCAAGGCCGTCGCCGCGCTGCTCCGCGACGCGCCCGCCGCGGCGCCGAAGCGGACGCCGCCGTTCCTCGCGACGCCGCGACGGCGCGCGCCGGCCGTCGAGCGCGCGGTCGAGCTCGACGGACTGCTCGCCGACGTCCGCGCGGCGAGCGCCGTGCCCGCGCCCGTCGCGGGGCTCTGCGGCGCGACGTTTGACGAGTGCGTCGCCGAGGTCTGGCGGACGATGGTCGCCTTTGGGGGCGAGCCGCGCGCGTCGTTCGACGCCGCGCAGGTCAAGCTGCGGAGCTGGGCCCGGGCGCGCAGCGGCGACGGCGACGGCAAGCGCGTGGCCATCGCCGCGGCGAAGGCCCACGCCAGCGGCGTCGCCGTCCAGCTCCGGCGCTTCGCGGGCGGCTCGGCGGCGGAGGTTTTGGCGCTCTGCGTCGCCGACGACGGCCCCGAGATATGCGACGCCGCCGCCGCGGCGCTCGAGGGCGCCGAGCGGCGGTCCGAGCGGCGGCGCATGGCTTTGGCCGTCGCCGCGGACGTCTACGGGACGCTCCGGGGCGGCGGCGACGCCGCGGCGGAGACGTTCGCGAGTTCGCTGGGCCCCGCGCTCGCCGCGTCCGCGCCGCGCGCGGACGGCGACCGGCGCGACGACGACGACGAGCCGGCGCCCTGGTGCCTCGGGCGGGGCGCGCTGAGCTTCGTCGACGACC